CTGGTGACCAGGACAGTCCCCTCACCTGTCTCCCAGGTTGGGGAGTGCAGATTCTCCTAAGCTCCCTGCCCCTGTAAGTCCCCAACAGTCTCGTGTGGCTCCAGCTCACACAGGAATATCCACGGCCCATATTTCAAATAACTCTTTTCCTCCCACTCTGAATCCATCCTCTACTGCATGTTCCCCTCACAGCGCAGACAGTTTTCTTCACATCCTCGGTTTGCCTGCCCATACCCCAGACTGACCTTTCTTTTTAGAACTGCCTCTCCCTCTGTAGACAGTGTCTTTCTGCTACTGCACATGAAGATGTCCCGCCCTCCCCTGCTCACGGAGAGAGTGCCTGATCTGAGCTGGGCCATCATATCCAGTACTTACCTGGAATAGAAGACAGGCAGGGTGGCCAAAGACTACATGAATCTCTGAAGCTCATCCACTTGAGAGACCCGGAAGATACTGGTCCTTCATTCCTGCTGTGTATATCCAATGTGACTGAGCTCTGAATAAAATGTACAAGTTATAATAATGTAGTAATTGACTCAGCAAACCAGGACACGAACATGTTAGAGGGTGAGGTGTTGAGAGGCATGTTTGGGGGTGGTGGCAATGAGCGAGTATTTGAAGGAGACATAGGGCCTAACCTCAGAAAGCAAAGACTAATAATAGCTATTTAGAGATAAGGAGCTGAATAATTATGTACACATGGGGCCTGCTGCTTTACTGAACAAATTTTGAAGTATATGTAAGTTTAATGAAGTATCCTAAATAAAAAAATTTTGCCATATATTTTGTGTATATATTTACATCCACATATATATTTCTATTCATCGTATTTTGAATATAAATTTGTACAGTCATGTTAATCCCTCTTTTCCTTTAAGGATTTGAGTTTGATGTCATGCATAACACGTGTCCCCACCGAATGACTACAGAAATGTTGGCAAAGGAAGCTCAGAGGAAATGGTAGGCAATACTACCCAGTTTTGGCCAGAAGAAGGAGATAGAAAGTATTCTCACAAAATGTTAACTATGTGACTTGTTATATCGTCTTTCCACAGTAATTTGGGCAGAAAATTGCAAAATCCGAAATGTATAAATACCTTGATCTGGCCATTCCATTTCCAGGTATCTGCGCAGAAGTAGACAGGGGATGCATGACAGATGTATGTGTCAGTCTGATCCCTGCAGCTGTGTTTGTAATAATACACATTGGAGCAACTTCATGGCCATCAGTTAGAGAAAATTTGAAGAATGATCCACTTGTATCAAGGATGTTTAAAAGATCAAAGCCTGATGGAAATGCTAGAGACAATGGCACTGAGAGGAGCTCATGTGTATTGAACAATTACTATGTGACAGGCATTGGGCTCCACGCTTTTCCTGCACAGCTCATTTAAACATTGGACAACCTGAGTATTCCGGTTTAGTGCATTTGACAGATAGAAATGGAGGCACAGAAAATTAATGTGTTTAATTTCAAACCCTGGCAAATTAGGTTTCTCCCCCAGAGTCTGTGGCTTCACCAGAGGTGTGACTCAGGTTCTATCATTCTCCATTTTAGGAATTTCCAGTGTTCCAAATATGAGCAGCTGAGAAAACAAACTCAAAACCCTAAACACCAGGATAAGTAAGGGAAGATGTTTGTTAAGGGGAGATTAAAAATGGACTTTTTTTTTTGCCCCAAGCAACAAAAAGACACATTGGAAAATAGACAAGTGTGTGTGTGTGTGTGTGTGTGTGTGTGTGTGTGTGTGTGTGTTTATATAAGATGGGGTTCCACCATGATGGCCAGGCTGGTCTTGAATTCCTGACCTCAGGTGATCCACCCACCTCGGCCTCCCAAAGTGCTAGGAGTACAGGCGTGAGCCACAGCGCCCGGCCTGAAGGGAAGTTTTAAAATATATTTGGTCCAAGGAAGAGACTCTTCAGATGGAAGGTCATGTCAGCTAGAAACATTAATGTGACTGAATGGGCTTGAACCACTGTTTCAGTCACATCTGACAGCACCAACCTAGTGGTCCAGAGACACTGCTTGTGAAACAGTGAAAGCTGCTGCTCAAGTGTCATTCATCATCGTCAGATACTGTCATTTAGTAGTACAGGGAGGTATTCTCTGTTCCAAGCTCGAGTACCCATAACTCTGCTGTTTTGTTGAAACTTCCTCCCCACCACCAGCCTCTTTAGAAGACTTGGAGCTCTGCAAACATCCAGGCCAACAGTCCTGTCCTTGTGCATGTTTGGGCATTGATCCAGGCCCAAATCTGTGGGAGACTCCTCCACACACATTCCAGGTGCCCAGGTGACAGCGGCAGTCTCTAGGTCTGGGGTCATCCACTTTCCCATTTCTAGCCCACCTCACCCATCATGAAGCCTGGTCAGGGTTGCCAGAGACTCCAGTGAGCAGGTGCTGATATTTGTGTGTGTGTTTGCCAGAAGAAAACAAGAAACCTGCTGTGTGCCCACCTGGCTGATCCCTCCACCTTTCTAGCCAAGGGCTTCATGAGCCAGGGCCCTTGGGGTTGCTCACAAGGCAGCCCCTCACCGAGTAGGCATTGCTTCATTATGTGTATGTACATGTATATGTACATGTATATGTATATGTGTATGTATATGATCCTCTGGTTGTATTCCTTAAATATACATAAATATATAATTTTAATAACAATGTTTAAAAGAGTACTTTACAATAGCATTAGGAAATATATACTATATATCTAAGATGTGAAAGCCAGCCAGGCTCAGCTTTAAATCCCAGCAACTTGGAAGGCTGTGGCAGGAGGGTCGCTTGAGCTCAGAAATTTAAATCTAGCCTAGGCAACATAGTGAGACCTCATCTCTACTAAAAACTATTAACATTATCCAGGTGGTGTGAGCCTGTAGCCCCAGGTGCTCAGTGGATGAGGCCCTAGGATCTCATGGGCCTGAGAATTCCATGCTGCAGTGAGCTGGGACTGTGCCCCTGTACTTCAGCCTGAGAGAAAGAGTGAGATTCTGTCTGGAAACAAATGAAAAAAATAAATAAATAAGATGTGAAAGCCTGTATACTGAAGACTGCCAGGTACTGCTGAGAACAGTTAAACACCTTTGGAATAGAGGATGTTCCTTCTTGCATTTCAAGATTGCTTTTGTTTTGGGGACACACTTGCTATTTCTTAGGAATATGAAGTTCTTCTCAACCACTCCTATGAAAAAAGCGAATTTGAGAAAGTTGTATTAAATCTGTGGATTGCTTTGAGTTGTATTTTTACCTTAACCATGTTACATCTTTTAACCCATGGACACAAGATATCTTTCCACTTATTTAGGTCTTTAATCTCCTTGAGGAATATTCACAGAACTGGAAAAAAACAACTTAAACTTCATATGGAACCAGAAAAGAGCACGCATAGCCACGACAATCCTAAGAAAAAAGAACAAAGCTGGAGGTATCACACTACCTGACTTCAAACTATACTACAGGGCTACAATAATCAAAACAGCATGGTACTGGTACCAAAACAGAGATATAGAGCAACAGAACAGAACAGAGGCCTCAGAAGTCATGTCACACATCTACAACCATCTGATTTTTGACAAACCTGACAAAAACAAGCAATGGGGAAAGGATTCCCTGTTTAATGGTGTTGGAAAAACTGGCTAGCCATGTGCAGAAAGCTGAAACTGGACTCCTTCCTTGCACTTTAATCAAAAATTAACTCCAGATAAATAAAAGATTTAAACATAAGACCTAACACCATAAAAACCCATGAAGAAAACCTAGGAAATACCATGCAGGACATAGGCATAGGCAAGGACTTCATGACTTATACACCAAAAGCATTGGAAACAAAAGCCAAAATAGACAAAATAGATCTAATGAAACTTAAGAGCTTCTGCACAGCAAAAGAAACAATCATTAGAGTCAACCAGAAACCAACAAAATGGGGAAAAAATTTTGCAAGTTACCCATCTGACAAAAAACTAATAATCAGAATCTATAAAGAACTAAAACAAATATACAAGAGAAAAAGAAACCCCATCAAAGAGCAGGCGAAGGCTATGAACAGACACTTTTCAAAAGAAGACATTTATGTGGCCAACAAACATAAGAAAAAATGCTCATCATCACTGGTCATTAGAAAAATGCAAATCAAAATCACGTTGAGATACCACCTCACACCAGTTAGAGTGGTGATCATTAAAAAATCAGGAGACAGCACATGCTAGAGACAATGTGGAGAAAAAGGAATGCTTTTACACTTCTGGTGGGAGTGTAAATTAGTTCAATCGTTGTGGAAGACAGTGTGGCAATTCCTCAAGAATCTAGAAGTAAAAATAATATTTGACCCAGTAATCCCATTACTGGGTATATACCCAAAAGATTATACATCCTTCTATCATAAAGACACATGCACACGTATATTCATTGCAGCATGGTTTACAATAGCAAAGACTTACAACCAACCCAAATGCCCATCAAGGACACAGTGGATAAAGAAAAAGTTGCACATATACACCATGGAATACTATGCAGCCATAAAAAAGGATGAGTTCATGTTCTTTGCAGGGACATGGATAAAGCTGGAAACCATCATTCTCAGCAAACTGACACAAGAACAGAAAACCAAACACCACATGTTTTCACTCATAAGAGAATGTTGAACAACGAGAACACAAGGACACAGGAGGGGAACATCACAAACTGAGGTCTGTTGAGGGTGGGGGGCGAAGGAGAGATAGCAAGAAATGGGAATATTGAGAAAAAATAGCATTAGGACAAATACGTAACATAAGTGATGGAGGGATGGAAGCAGCAAACAACCATGGCATGTGTATACCTATGTAACAATCCTGCAAGGTCTGCACATGCACCCCAGAACTTAAAGTAAAATAAAGAAAAGAAAAAGAAGATACACCCTGAGATGCAGTTTGTTCCCAGTAATTTGAAATATTTAAAGAATGGTTAAATGGTCACTTGACAGTTATACTATAAACAGGAGTAAGATACACAGAGTTAAACATCATTACTTTGAGAAGATAAATTTTAATGTCATTTTCAATCTTTAAAATCTTTGGTTTTATTTTGAAAACAATCTTCAATCTTAAAAAGATCACCGCAAAAAAAAAAAAGGATTACAGTCCATTTGCTTTTTCAAATAAACTTGGAATACGTTCTTATGAATGTCAACAGTCAATGCAGTGTGGAATATTAAGAACTGACTTCCATATAACAGGTAAGTTTAGAGAGATTACATTTCATGAGAAAATGTTTAATGAATTTTAATGGTGTATGTTTATTTAAATCTTATTTTCTATTGTTTTGGGAAATAGTTGTCTGCTGCTTTTAGTGTATTCTCCTTCCTGTCCACATATGTGGAATCTACCTATTCTCTTCTCTTTTGAAATAGATTAAAAGACTCAAGGAGAATGGCCTGGGCTTTGCATGTCCTTAGTCTGATAGACATTTCCCTGGCTGCTCACTTAAATAGATATTACCAGCTAACTAAGAAAACTACATCTCTTGTCAGCCACAAATTAACAAAGGCTTCAAAATCAGGGAATTCTCTGTTTTGCTGTGGCCTTATGTGCTGACAGTCTTAAGAGAAAAAATTTTAATAGTATACATTAAAATTAACTTTGGCAAAAATTAAAATGCAGGCAGGAAACTTTTTTCCAACAACAGAAACTAGGAAAAGCAAAGATACAGTAAAAATTGAAAATTTCCAGTAGAGAGATATAAATATAATAATTGACACCACCAGGGATGATTAATGAATAAAATGTTTAGGGGATGATCATTTGAACACAGCATATTAATACTTTTAAAAACCATTTTTCCAATTACTTCGGTATAACTAAGGTGTCTCTGAATGGTACAGATTGGGCATCACGATCATGGTGGTAGACAAATGGTGGAATAGTCCTGGTATCACAATCATGGTGGTAGACAAATGGTGGAATAGTCCTGGTATCACAATCATGGTGGTAAACAAATGGTGGAACAGTCCTGGTACCATGATCATGGTAGACAAATGGTGGAAGAGTCCTGGTATCACGATCATGGGGGTAGACAAATGGTGGAACAGTCCTGGTACCATGATCATGGTAGACAAATGGTGGAATAGTCCTGGTATCACAATCATGGTGGTAGACAAATGGGGAACAGTCCTGGCATCACAATCATGGCAATAGACAAATGATGGAACAGTCCTAGTATCACAAACATGGTGGTAGACAAATGGTGGAACAGTCCTGGTATCACAATCATGGTGGGAGACACACGGGACCTTCTCTGCCTGCAGATGGGTGAGGTAGCATTGACCCTGCAGTGTTCCCAGAAAAACACTTAGGCTGAATTTAATCATGAGGACATTTTTGGACAACTTCAGAGTGTAGAGCATTGAGCCAGACAGCTGACCTGTCCTCTACAAACAAGCCCATGTCACCACCATCAATGACAACAACAAAAGGTGAGGAGACACTTTGGGTTCAAAAGAACTAAAGAAATGTAGCTACATTATCTTTTTACTCTTTTTCAACCCAAAATGTCTCTTCTCCTTTTGGTTGTGTGATTTGTGGTGACATGGGCTTTCTGAAGGAGAAAGGTCACTTCTGCTGCTCACTGCTCTACATTCTGAAGTTGTCTGGAGATTACCTCAGGCTATGGAACTCAGGCTAAGCATTTCAGCCAGAACATGGTGTTGTTCATACTCTGCACCGGCAGAGTCCCATATGACATGTTGTCTTAGTGTGGAAATATGACCCCTACCCGGGAGACCAGGGGGAGTCTTGTCACCGTCGTAGTAAGAAACCTACTGTCCATGTCCAAAGTCAAGCGAACATGCTCTTCCACAAATAAAAAAATAACATATGTGTAAGCCTGGCCTGTGTAACAAAACTCAGGATAAGCTGTATATGTTGAATACAATACATCCAGTGAGTACCGGAAGACTTCAGGCTCTTCTGCTTCCACCAGCTCCATGCTGAGCCTAGAAAATGAGGAAAAACCAAAGAATAAGTCAAGGAAAATAAGACACCGCAGAGCCCCAACTAGATTTCATGGGGAGCACAAGAAAGTGGTTAATAAAGAAAAAACATAGATCCATTAATGACATAAAAGATTATTGCCTTATGTTGGGATGGGCAAGAGTAGGGTAAAAAAGAATGAAAGAGAAGAGAGAGAGAAAGTAAGCTCAGTGAACTGTCCAGGTGACACACTGATGAGGGAGTGAAAGGACACTCTGAGTGAGTACCCTCAGGACACACAGCGTACACTGATCATAAAAACAAGTATCGTCAACCTACAGTAGTTAGTAAATGATAAGGGGAGGGAGAAATGGAAACCTAAGTATCTACCGCAATGAAAACCAACAGCAATGTTAGTAGAAATCATTCAGGCTTCATTGAAAACATGGTATCGATATTGTCAGCCCACTCTTTTCCCTGGACCTGGTGTCTCCAGGTGTCAACACAAAATTAGCTGTTCACAATTGCTCAAAGTTACCTGGGGCATGGTGGGCCTTGGTCTTCTTCTTCGTCGTCATTTTTAATCTCTGCAATAAATTCAGACAGGGACAGACAAAATAAGCCAATTCTCCTACACCCATAACTGTCCACTGTCTAATCCCTGCACAGGGACCTCAAACTCCTCAGAATGAGAACAGGATAATGTGAGAGACAGACTTCAGGAGGTCTGAAGGCCAATCATGAGAGAGATTTCTTGGTTCCTGTCTCAGACAAATAATGAAATGTCCCTATTCTGGTAGACCATTATTCTTTCATCCCAAGTTGTACAAACAGTTTCACCAAGTTTGTACACACAGGGAAGAACCTCACAGACATGCTTGGGGAACAAAACTCATGAGGAACTTGGTAGCTGGCAAGAGACATTTAATTCAGATTGACAGACAACTTGTGGGCATGTGCTGCAGAGCTTGGCGTGAGTGTGCAACACCTGCCTTAAGTTTCAATGTCCTGACAGTCGGTCCAGGGTGTGACGGGCATGACCTGAGACTAGAGACAGGGCAAAGCTCACTGTCCCACCCCATGCTGGTGCTTCAGACTGGAATCCAGAGTGACTGAAATCTACACTCATGTACAGGCTCAGCCCAGAGTGATGACAACTCTCAGCCCGGCCAGGGGAGCAATGCCCAAAGACTATGGGGTCTATCTGGGACACAAACTGGAGCTTTAGTGCCTTCACAATGGAGTACTCACTGTCTATGTCAACAGCCGAGATGACTTGCTGCTCCTCTAATGAGTGCAAGTTGCTCCTCAAAGTCTCATTGAAGGCAGATGGGCCAGGAGGAACTGAGAGAGTCGAATCACCTTCATCCCAGGACTCCTGGGGGGCTTCCTCCTCCACAGACTCCTGCAGATTCCTGATGAGCCAGGCAGGACAGGACGACAGATTAAACCAACAGAAATTAGACAACAAAGTCCCCCAGCTGATCTGATGGAAGTCACAATGGAGTGGTCACAGAAAGCAAAGGCATTTTTCCTTCAAGAGAAAAAAAAACTATCCTTCTAAATGCAGGGTGAAGGGTGACTACCCTGGGGACACAGCACAAATGAGCAGCAGGTGCTCAGTGCATTTGCCACAGATGAGCCACTGCAGGCCACCCAGACTCCCTGGAAACTACCATCATGAACTGCAACACGAGCACTAACACGGGGATTCAACTACCTCGCGTAAGTTGTGTTGAATTTTACATGCAGCATTCAAGTGAACAGAGCTCCTGAGGCATTTCAGACACCCAGATCTTCTGTACTAAGGGCCTCCCTTTTCCAGTATTTTGATAGCATATGTATATTTTTTGAATTTCTTCTCTTCACAAATCCTAGCAAACATGCTAACAACAAATGGGTAGAAAGCATATCTGTGTCTCTCCCTGGAATTAAACACATGGAGAGAACAGGCGAAAACAGGAAATCCCTGTTTGCTGAGTTCACCTGGCTCAGCAGATTGCAGGTCCCTATCTTGGGAGGACTAAGAAATTAAAACCTATACAAGTGCCACACATCACCCACAGCACTGTCAATGAGGACAATCTGTAGCTGGTGAATGGAAGGCAGAGTTCTAGTCATCATTTTCTCCTTTTCCTGGATCTGCAGTCTCCAGGTGTCACTATGGAACTAACAGCCCACAGCTCCACAGCGTTACCTGGGGGGCACTGGCCCTTTCTCCTCCTCTTCCTCAACATCACCTTGACTTTCTGTAAACAAATTCAGAGAAGCAGGTCACATTAAGCAAATCACACTTCACATATGACCAAATCAGTGTTTAGTCATAGCACAGGCACAGAAATGATCTCACGGCAAGAATACAAATTCTGGCAGGAAGATTCTAAGGTGCCCTAGATGAAGCCTGGTGAGTAGATGAGCCTGCTTTCCAGATGCACAGGCCAAAATCTCCCCCTACAGGTAGACAATAATGCCATAATTTCTCCGAGTCTATACAAAGTTAAACAAAGTTTTTTCCCTGAAAACCTCCAAAAATTAGTCAAACTCTTTTCTGGGAGTGTTGCTGCAATACTGACTTATCTCACCAGTGAGCAAGGTCATTGAATGGTCAGAGGCATCTATGCATGAAACTGGACAGGTATGTACATTCTGACAACACTTGTTTGAATAAGAATCTGTAAGCTTTGCACAGTGGCAGTATCATAGCCAATGGGGTTTATCTGAGATCAGATTATCGCTAATTGAAAACGTTCCCAATACCCTGCCGTGATGACATGTAATAGAGTCGGCATTGACAATATTTGACAGTCTCTAGGGAGAAGGAATAACAAAAAACAAAACAATAACAAAAACTAACAAAAAGAATCTGTGGGCCGGGCATGGTGGCTCATGCCTGTAATCCCAGCACTCTGAAAGGCCGAGGTGAGGTCAGGAGATCGGGACCATCCTGGTTAACACGGTGAAAGCCTGTCTCTACTAAAAAAATAAGAAAGGAGCTGAGGGTGGTGGCATGCACGTACAGTCTCAGCTACTTGGGAGGCTGAGGAAGAAAAATCATCTGAACTCTGAGTCTATACAGAGTTAAACCAAATTTTTTCTGTCATCTCTATCCCATCTGGCTCATCAGGGAAGTGCAGAAGGTTGAAGTCAAGGAGGCAGAGGTTGCAGTGACCTGAGATCGTGCAACTGAACTACAGCCTGAATAACAGAGGGAGACTCCACCTCTAAAAAAAAGAAAAAACAAAATCCATAATTTGAAAGGACAAAGTAGGTGAAAAATTTAAGGTCAGGAGTTCAAGACCAGCCTGGCCAATATGGTGAAACCTCGTCTCTACTACAAATACAAAAATTAGCCAGGTGTGGCGGTGGGCACCTGCGATCCTAGCTACTCAGGAGTCAGAGGCAGGAGAATCACTGGAGTCTTCAAAGTGGAGACTGCAGTAAGATCAGATGGCGCCACTGCACTCCAGGATAGGTGACAGAAAAAGACTCCATCTCAACAACAAACAGTATGTGATGCTATGAAGAAAAGTCAGATCGGCCACTACATTGAGGGGGTGGACAGCCAGGGGTGAGCCTTGCTTGACGGAAACGTATTAGCAAGGAAAAGAGAAAATGTTTTCATCCTGGTTTCAAGGTGACTGTGAAGCTAAGCAAGCTGACTTAAAAAGAGATCAAGACTGAAGCTCAGAGCAGTGAAACCTGGGGAACAATATCTCAAAATAAATAGGCAAGGCTCCCAGTAACCTTAAAAAGAAATAGAAACACCATGAACATCGTTCAGGGACAGATGACATAATGACAGGTGAGGAGACACACCAAATCAAAGCTAGGAGACCTGACAGACACCTACTGGACACCTCCTGCACTCAGGTGACCATGAGTTTGTAACATTGGCCTGGGGTCTGGTAACTTGATACTTGGGCCTGGGAGACAAACGCATGGCATGAACTGAGGAAAAGATAAAAATTCGCTGATATCTGTGTTTAGTATCCCATCATACGTATTTATTCAAACCGATTTGTGTGTATAGAGCCTGTCTTCAGAGTTGATCTTCCTCAGCCTAGACAGAGGTACCAAAAACAAAAAATGTAGGTTACCTGAAAGAATGATGAGAGCATCCTCCGCTACATCATGAGATGATGCACTCTCTTCAGCCAGCACAGAAGCAACACTGTCTTCCTCAAATTTGATTTCACTGGTGTCTCTGTGAGGCTGGCTGGGGTCAGTAGGGCCAGAGTTTTTTGAATGAGTGATGACAGATTCCTCTAGTGAGTCCTCAGGGACTTTCTTGACTTCAACTTTCTGCACCTCCCTGATGAGCCAGATGGGATAAAGACAGAAAATTTAAAAAAAATTGGACAGGAGGAATAAGGGAGGGGTCTCAGAAGGCAAATGGGAGGTTCCCTTTGAGAGAAAACAGGCAATCCTCCTCTGTGCAACAGAGAATGGCTGCCATGGAAACCGGAAAAAAACAGAGCAGCTGGTATTCATCACACTGGGCAGAAAGGAGCTGAGAAGAGCAGAGACTCAGTTATCCCTGTATAACTCAGACACAACACTCAGCACATACAAACAACCACAACAGCTGGCACACCCTGTGTCTAAGTTGGGTTGAACTGAAAATATTATGGCCAAGGAAATGCAGGCTTTTGGCCCACGGTAGATGTCAGAGAGGGTGAGATTCTAGACCTTTTCCATACTTTACCACCCATTACTTGCTCCTGATTCTTCAGTGTTACCTGGGGGCAGGTGACTCCTGAATTTTCTCAGCCTCTGCAACATGAACATCCTCATCCTTGTCTTTGTCGTTTTCTGCAAGTACAGATATGCTCATTCAGATATTTCCCATTTCACACCCTGCAAGCACAGTCAGCCCAATGGGCACATAAACATGAACGTCTGTGTATGGGTCCCTGTTCTATTGAAAGCTCTCATGATTTCTCTTGAACACAATGCCCTGGCATGGTTTCCTGATCCACCAGGCAATGCATTTCTGATCTGGAGGGTCACTGTCACAATGAGGCCAAATGTTGAAAAGACCTTCTGCTCCCATATCACTGGAGGCTTGTGCAGCCCCTCTCTGAAATTTTGCAGCTGTCTCCCCCATCCTGACAAAGATCTGATGCCCAGAGACAGGCTTGCTGTCCTGTCAATTCACATTTACAACCTATTTCTTTCTCTTAGGAGAGGACAAACTTGTCCCACAATCCTCTGCACATCAGGTGACTTCACAGGCCCTCCAAGTGGCTTCTGCTGTATTATTCAGGAACATTCTCTGCATGGGGAGTGCTCCAGTCTGAACTACTTTTTCATACCAAATGCCCACACAGCGAGTGCTGCCTCCAACACCACACAGCGAGGGGCTTCATCTTATTTGGATAAGTGGTCATACGTGTTCACACATTTGAATGCCTCAGAAACTGTAAGATGTCTCTGCCTTTGCAGATGGAGAGAGAGAAATTTGACTGACTTTGCAGACGGAGAGACAGAAACTAAGGAAGGGGAAATCAATTGTTCACCGACAGTTACTAAACACACTGCTGAAGATACAGCCTGGGAATCTTCATTAATCCAGAGATCTTTCCACTCCAAAGACCACTCTCCTGTCACAGCTTCCTTCCTGTCCTTTACACCTGGACAGATGCTGCCTCTTGTTCCAGAGACCACCTTCTATCAGGTTATGTAAAAAGCAAAGTCCTCTTTAAGCTCCCCACAGCGGGTACTGTGTACTATCATTGCATTTCCCCCAGGACCCAAGAACAGAGCTTTGCCTTCTGGACCTCAGCAGACACCTGAACTGAATGGCAGTTCACAAGCCTCAGACATTTAGACCAAGAGACTAGATGTTACTTGCCTGCAGGATCTTATGTGGTACAGAAAGGATTCCTGTCAACATGATTCAGCCTCTTGCTGAGAAAAACAGGTGGTTCTGTGCTGGTGTCAGGAACCAATAGCTGAGATTTTACCCTGAGTCCCACACCCACCTCACTGCAGATGTAAAAAAGTGGCTACATTGGCCTCTCTCATCCATTTTTAACAAAATGTTAAGAAACAAATTTATGTCTGCCTAGAAGTATGGGAAAAATGAAATAAATTCTGATGAAGAGAGTGTTCAGTTTCTCAGAGAAAAGACAGGACATCGTTCAGCACTTCCGTGATGGTGAACCAATAGAACTTACCTTCCGTCTTCAGCCGGCAATATAGGTAGTAGGCCGCTTGACTCATAAGATGTTTATTTTTGCTGTCTCTGTATTTCTGTTCTTCATCAAGATCTTTTTGATCATCTGTAAACAAATCCAGAAGAGCAGGTCAAATTCAGCAAGTCTCACTTCACACAAGACCAAATCAGTGTCCTGTCATAGCAGAACATAAAATATTCTCAATAGAAGAATGTGATATAATGATAACAATGTTCTAACAGGCCGAAGATTAAGTTGCCTCAGAAGCAGATGAGCCTGCTTTTCAGATCCATGGGAAAAAATCTGTCTTAACTGATAGATCTCAATCCCATATCCTCTGACTTAAGTTAATGCAAACAATTAAAACTTTTTCCCCAAAATCTTCAAAACTTGCCCTGACTGCTTTCCAGAAGGGTTGCAGCAATACTGATCTATCTCAACATGTATCATGATCAACGAATGGTTAGAAAAATTTATATATGAGACAGACCAACAAAAAAATTTTAACAACCTCTACTTAAAAAAAAAAAACCTGTGGAGCCAGCACTGTAGCTCATGCTGGGAAGGCCTTAAGGCACTGTAGGCCTAAAAAAACAGATCGCTTGACCTCAGGAGTTCAAGAGCAGCCCAGACAACATGGAGAAACCCAGCCTCTACATAGAATACAAAAATTGTCAGATGCAGTGGTACCCAAAAGGGATCTCAGCTAATTAAGAGTCTGAGGCACCAGAACTAGGGTACTTCCTGCTCTTGATGGGGCAACTAACACATACCACTGGTTCTATTGAGTACAGGGTCCCCTATAAATTCCTCACAGAAGGTACTGTCTGCTATCGCTGTGTTTCTCCCAGTGCCCCAGAACAGAGCTTTGCCTACTGGGCCTCAGAAAAGAAAAAAATGGAAGTGGAGTAGCCTCAGACATTTTGACCAACAAAATAGATGCTACTTGTCTGCAGAATCTTATACTGTACAGAGAAAATTTCTGTAAACATGGACTTGGCCTCTTGTTGAGAAAAACAGGTGAGTCTGTGCCTGTGTCAGGAATCATTAGCTGCGATACTAACCCTAGTCCCACACCCACCTTACTGCAGACGTGGAACAGTTGCTAGATACCTTGGCCTCTGACTTCCATCTTTACCAACATGATAAAATACCCATTGCTATTTTCCTAGAAGTATGGGAAGGATTAAATTAACCTCGAAGAAGACAGCGTATCGCCTGTCCGAGACAAGACAGGACGTTGTTCAGCACTTCCGTTACGGCGAACCTTTAGAACTTACCTTCCGTCTTCAGCCGGCAGCCCAGGTAGTAGGCCACTTGACACATTAGAAGTTTATTTTTGCAGTCTCTGTATTTCTGTTCTTCATTGTGATCTTTACAATCTTCTGTAAACAAATTCAGAAGAGCAGGTCACATTAAGCAAATCGCACTTCACACAGACCAAAGCAGTGTCCAATCATAGCACAAGGACTTAAAATACGCTCAGTGTAAGAATGTGTCATTCTGACGGTAATGTTCTAACAAGCCCTAGAATAAGTCGCCCTAGAAGTGGATGAGCCTGCTTTTCAGATCCAGAGGACAAAATCTCCCTCATCTGGTAGATCTTAACCACGTATCCTGTGACCTAAGTCAGTACAAAAATTAAAACGTTTTCCCAAAAATCTTTCAAAAATTGCCCTAAATACTTCGCAGAAGCATTGCTGCCATACTGATTTATCTCATTATATATCATGCTCAGTGAATGGTTAGAGAAATTTCTACAGGAGACTGGACCAACTGATGAATTCTAACAACCTTTACTGAAAAAACAATCTGTGGAACCAGCATGGTGGCTCATGCCTGAAACCTCAGCAATTTAGGAGGCACAGGGGGTCAGATCCCTTGACCTCAGGACTTCAGGACCAGCCTGGCCAACACGGAGAAACCCCACCTCTACTGAAAATATAATAGCCAGGTGTGATGGTGCCCACCGGGGATCCCAGCTGATTGGGAGGCTGAGGCACCAGTACCAGGGAACTCCCTGCTCTTGATGATGCCACTTTCAGATACCACAGGGTCTAATCGGAGGAGGGTCCCCTTTAAGCTCCCCATAGCAGGAACTGTGTGCTATCATAGTGTTCCCACCAGTGTCCCCAGAACACTGCTTTGCCTACTGGGTCTCAGCAGAAACTAGAACTAAATGGAAGTTCAGTAGCCTCAGACATTTAGACCAACAGACTAGATGCTACTTGTCTGCAGGATCTTGTATGGCACAGAGAGGATTCCTGCAAACATGGATTTAGCCTCTTGCTGAGAAAAACAGGTGGTTCTGTGCCTGTGTCAGACATCGATAGCTGGGACTGTGACCCCAGTCCCACACCCACCTTACTGCAGATGTGGAAAAGTTGCTAAACACTTTGGCCTCTATCTTTCATCTTGACCAAAATGTTAAAATACCCATTTCTGTTTTCTGCAAGTATAAGCATAAGAAATTAATTTTGATAAAGAGAATGGTTAGTTACTCAAGACAACACAGGACGTCATTCGCCACTTTCATGGTAGTCAACCTATAGAACTTACTGTATGACTTCAGCCGGTACTTCAGGAAGTAGGCCACCAGGCTCAAAAGAAGTCGCTTTTTGATGGCTCCAACATTGGGTTTGCTTTCTTCCCGTTTGGAGGAGGATTTCTCAATGCCTTCTGGAACGTTCTGAACCTCTGGGATTGTTCTGAAAGGAGGCCGGCAAGATGCCACCGTGTTGACTTTTGGAGCGGCACACCGAAAGCCAGGAACTGGGGAGAAGAAACCCAAACACATGATGGGTTAGAAACTGGTGACATCAAATTGGTTTCAGGACTGAGGGATGTCACTGACAGCCTTGCCTATTGGACATGCTGTTTCCCTGCTTTGACTCTTCTCATCTCCACTCTTGATCTCCTTAAAGTCAACTTGTCTTAGCTACTCAGTCACCCTGAAACCAGGATACAAACACTTCTGCCTTTATCTTGCTTATAAGTTCCGAAGGATCCTATACGTTAGACAGAATTCCTGTAAACGCGGACTTGGCCTCTTGCTGAGAAAAACAGGTGGTTCTGTGCCTGTGTCAGGAATCATTAGCTGCGATACTAACCCTAGTCCCACACCCACCTTACTGCAGACGTGGAACAGTTGCTAGATACCTTGGCCTCTGACTTCCGTCTTTACCAAAATGGCAAAATACCCATTGCTATTTTCCTAGAAGTATGGGAAGGATTAAATTAACCTCGAAGAAGACAGCGTATCGCCTGTCCGAGACAAGACAGGACGTTGTTCAGCACTTCCGTTACGGCGAACCTTTAGAACTTACCTTCTGTCTTCAGCCGGCAGCCCAGGTAGTAGGCCACTTGACACATTAGAAGTTTATTTTTGCAGTCTCTGTATTTCTGTTCTTCATCGTCATCTTTTCGATCTTCTGTAAACAAATTCAGAAGAGCAGGTCACATTAAGCAAATCGCACTTCACACAAGACCAAAGCAGTGTCCAGTCATAGCACAAGGACTTTAAATACTCTCAGTGTAAGAATGTGTTATTCTGACGGTAATGTTCTAATGGGCCCTAGACTAAGTCACCCTAGAAGTGGATGAGCCTGCTTTTCAGATCCAGGGCACAAAATTTCCCTCATCTGGTAGATCTTAACCACGTATTCTCTGACCTAAGTCAATGCAAAAATTAAAACATTTTCCCCAAAATCTTTCAAAAATTGCCCTAAATACTTTGCAGAAGCATTGCTGCCATACTGATTTATCTCATTATATATCATGGTCAGTGAATGGTTAGAGAAATTTCTACAGGAGACTGGACCAACTGATGAATTCTAAAAACCTTTACTGAAAAAACAATCTGTGGAACTGGCATGGTGGCTCATGCCTGGAATCTCAGCAATTTAGGAGGCACAGGGGGGCAGATCCCTTGACCTCAGGACATCAGGACCAGCCTGGCCAACATGGGGAAACCCCACCTCTACTGAAAATATAATAGCCAGGTGTGGTGGTGCCCACCGGGGATCCCAGCTGATTGGGAGGCTGAGGCACCAGTACCAGGGAACTCCCTGCTCTTGATGATGCCACTTTCAGATACCACAGGGTCTAATCGGAGGAGGGTCCCCTTTAAGCTCCCCACAGCAGGAACTGTGTGCTATCAGTGTTCCCCCCAGTGTCCCCAGAACACTGCTTTGCCTACTGGGTCTCAGCAGAAACTAGAACTAAATGGAAGTTCAGTAGCCTCAGACATTTAGACCAACAGACTAGATGCTACTTGTCTGCAGGATCTTGTATGGCACAGAGAGGATTCCTGCAAACATGGATTTAGCCTCTTGCTGAGAAAAACAGGTGGTTCTATGCCTGTGTCAGACATCGATAGCTGCGACTGTGACCCCAGTCCCACACCCACCTTACTGTAGACGTGGAAAAGTTGCTAAACACTTTGGCCTCTATCTTTCATCTTGACCAAAATGTTAAAATACCCATTTCTGTTTTCTGCAAGTATGGGCATAAGAAATTAATTTTGTTGAAGAGAATGGTTAGTTACTCAAGACAACACAGGACGTCATGCATCACTTTCGTGGTAGTCAACCTATAGAACTTACTGTATGACTTCAGCCGGTACTTCAGGAAGTAGGCCACCAGGCTCAAAAGAAGTCGCTTTTTGATGGCTCCGACATTGGGTTTGCTTTCTTCCCGTTGGGAGCAGGATTTCTCAATGCCTTCTGGAACGTTCTGAACCTCTGGGATCGTTCTGGAAGGAGGCCGGCCAGACGCCACCGTGTGGACATTTGGGGCGGTACACCAAAAGCCAGGAACTGGGGAGAAGAAACCCAAACACATGATGGGTTAGAAACTGGTGACATCAAATTGGTTTCAGGACTGAGGGATGTCACTGACAGCCTTGCCTATTGGACATGCTGTTTCCCTGCTTTGACTCTTCTCATCTCCACTCTTGATCTCCTTAAAGTCAACTTGTCTTAGCTACTCAGTCACCCTGAAACCAGGATACAAACACTTCTGCCTTTATCTTGCTTATAAGTTCCGAAGGATCCTATACGTTAGACAGAATTCCTGTAAACGCGGACTTGGCCTCTTGCTGAGAAAAACAGGTGGTTCTGTGCCTGTGTCAGGAATCATTAGCTGCGATACTAACCCTAGTCCCACACCCACCTTACTGCAGACGTGGAACAGTTGCTAGATACCTTGGCCTCTGACTTCCGTCTTTACCAAAATGGCAAAATACCCATTGCTATTTTCCTAGAAGTATGGGAAGGATTAAATTAACCTCGAAGAAGACAGCGTATCGCCTGTCCGAGACAAGACAGGACGTTGTTCAGCACTTCCGTTACGGCGAACCTTTAGAACTTACCTTCTGTCTTCAGCCGGCAGCCCAGGTAGTAGGCCACTTGACACATTAGAAGTTTATTTTTGCAGTCTCTGTATTTCTGTTCTTCATCGTCATCTTTTCGATCTTCTGTAAACAAATTCAGAAGAGCAGGTCACATTAAGCAAATCGCACTTCACACAAGACCAAAGCAGTGTCCAATCATAGCACAGAAACTTAAAATATTCTCAGTGTAAGAATGTGTTATTCTGACGGTAATGTTCTAATGGGCCCTAGAATAAGTCACCCTAGAAGTGGATGAGCCTGCTCTTCAGATGCAGGGGACAAAATCTCCCTCATCTGGTAGATCTTAACCACGTATCCTGTGACTTAAGTCAGTGCAAAAATTAAAACATTTTCCCCAAAATCTTTCAAAAATTGCCCTAAATACTTTCCAGAAGCATTGCTGCCATACTGATTTATCTCATTATATATCATGGTCAGTGAATGGTTAGAGAAATTTCTACAGGAGACTGGACCAACTGATGAATTCTAACAACCTTTACTGGAAAAACAATCTGTGGAACCAGCATGGTGGCTCATGCCTGGAATCTCAGCAATTTAGGAGGCACGGGGGGCAGATCCCTTGACCTCAGGAGTTCAGGACCAGCCTGGCCAACATGGGGAAACCCCACCCCAACTGAAAATATAATAGTCAGCCAGGTGTGGTGGTGCCCACCGGGGATCCCAGCTGATTGGGAGGCTGAGGCACCAGTACCAGGGAACTCCCTGCTCTTGATGATGCCACTTTCAGATACCACAGGGTCTAATCGGAGGAGGGTCCCCTTTAAGCTCCCCACAGCAGGAACTGTGTGCTATCAGTGTTCCCCCCAGTGTCCCCAGAACACTGCTTTGCCTACTGGGCCTCAGCAGAAACCGGAACAAAATGGAAGTTCAGTAGCCTCAGACATTTAGACCAACAGACTAGATGCTACTTGTCTGCAGGATCTTGTATGGCACAGAGAGGATTCCTGCAAACATGGATTTAGCCTCTTGTTGAGAAAAACAGGTGGTTCTATGCCTGTGTCAGACATCGATAGCTGTGACTGTGACCCCAGTCCCACACCCACGTTACTGTAGACGTGGAAAAGTTGCTAAACACTTTGGCCTCTATCTTTCATCTTGACCAAAATGTTAAAATACCCATTTCTATTTTCTGCAAGTATGGGCATAAGAAATTAATTTTGTTGAAGAGAATGGTTAGTGACTCAAGACAACACAGGACGTCATGCATCACTTTCGTGGTAGTCAACCTATAGAACTTACTGTATGACTTCAGCCGGTACTTCAGGAAGTAGGCCACCAGGCTCAAAAGAAGTCGCTTTTTGATGGCTCCGACACTGGGTTTGCTTTCTTCCCGTTGGGAGCAGGATTTCTCAATGCCTTCTGGAACGTTCATCTCTGGGATTTTTCTGGGAGGCCGGCCAGACGCCACCGTGTTGACATTTGGGGCGGTACACCGAAAGCCAGGGACTGGGGAGAAGAAACCCAAACACATGATGGGTTAGAAACTGGTGACGTCAAATTGGTTTATTCAGGACTGAGGGATGTCACTGACAGCCTTGCCTATTGGACATGCTGTTTCCCTGCTTTGACTCTTCTCATCTCCACTCTTGATCTCCTTAAAGTCAACTTGTCTTAGCTACTCGTCACCCTGAAACCAGGATACAAACACTTCTGCCTTTATCTTGCTTATAAGTTCTGAAGTATCCTATATGTTAGAGAGGATTCCTGTAAACGTGGACTTGGCCTCTTGCTGAGAAAAACAGGTGGTTCTGTGCCTGTGTCAGGAATCATTAGCTGCGATACTAACCCTAGTCCCACACCCACCTTACTGCAGACGTAGAACAGTTGTTAAATACCTTGGCCTCTGACTTCCATCTTTACCAAAATGGTAAAATACCCATTGCTATTTTCCTAGAAGTATGGGAAGGATTAAATTAACCTTGAAGAAGACAGCATATCGCCTGTCCGAGACAAGACAGGACATTGTTCAGCACTTCCGTTACGGAGAACCCTTAGAACTTACCTTCCGTCTTCAGCCGGCAGCCCAGGTAGTAGGCCACTTGACACATTAGAAGTTTATTTTTGCAGGCTCTGTATTTCTGTTCTTCATCGTCATCTTTTCGATCTTCTGTAAACAAATTAGGAAGAGACGGTCACATTAAGCAAATCGCACTTCACTTAAGACCAAAGCAGTGTCCAGTCATAGCACAAGCACAGAAATGTTCTCCGGGCAAGAATACAAATTCTGACCAAAAGTTTCTAGGATTCCCTAGATTAAGCCTGGTGAGTACATGAGCCTGCTTTCCAGATGCACAGGCCAAAATCTTCCTCTACAGGTAGACCATAATTCCATATTCTCTCACCGTGTCCATCCAAAGTTAAAGCAAATTTGTTCCCAGAGAATCTCCAAAATTAGTCAAACTCTTCTAGGAGTGTTGCTGCAATAATTTTTCTCACCAGGTAGCAAGGTTATTGCCTGGTCAGAGGCATCTATACATGAGACTGGATGGTTACGTAAATTCTAACACTTGCTTGAAAAAGAATCTGTGAGGTTTGTGCAGTGGCAGTATCGTAGCCAATGAAGTTTATCCAAGATGAGATTATCGCTAACTGAAAACATTCCCCAATACCCCGCCGTGATGACAGGCAATAGAGTCGGCATTGCCAATTTTTGACAGTCTCTAGGGAGAAAAAATAAAAAAAGACAAAGCAAAACAAAAACAAAAGAAAATCTGTGGGCTGGGCATGGTGGCTCATGCCGGAAATCCCAGCACTCTGGAAGAGGAAGTGAGCACTTCACAAGGTCAGGAAATCGGGACCATTCTGGCCAACATGGTGGAAGCCAGTCTCTACTAAAAATACTAAGAAATTAGCTGGGCGTGGTAGCACGTGCCTACACTCTCAGCTACTCGGGAGGCTGAGGCAGCAGAATCATCTGAACCCATGAGGCAGAGGTTGCAGTGACGTGAGATCCTGCAATTGAACTCCAGCCTGAATAACAGAGAAAGACTCCATCTCAAAAAAAGGGGGAAAAAAATCCGTTATTTGAAAGGTCAAGGCAGGTGAACAATTTAAGATCAGAAGTTCAAGCCCAGCCTGGCCAATATGGTGAAACCTCGTCTCTACTACAAATACAAAAATTAGCCAGGTGTGGTGGTGGGCACCTGTGATCCTAGCTACTCAGGAGTCAGAGGCAGGAGAATCACTGGAGTCTTCAAAGTGGAGACTGCAGTAAGATCAGATGGCGCCACTGCACTCCAGGATAGGTGACAGAAAAAGACTCCATCTCAACAACAAACAGTATGTGATGCTATGAAGAAAAGTCAGATCGGCCACTACATTGAGGGGGTGGACAGCCAGGGGTGAGCCTTGCTTGACGGAAACGTATTAGCAAGGAAAAGAGAAAATGTTTTCATCCTGGTTTCAAGGTGACTGTGAAGCTAAGCAAGCTGACTTAAAAAGAGATCAAGACTGAAGCTCAGAGCAGTGAAACCTGGGGAACAATATCTCAAAATAAATAGGCAAGGCTCCCAGTAACCTTAAAAAGAAATAGAAACACCATGAACATCGTTCAGGGACAGATGACATAATGACAGGTGAGGAGACATACCAAATCAAAGCTAGGAGACCTGACAGACACCTACTGGACACCTCCTGCACTCAGGTGACCATGAGTTTGTAACATTGGCCTGGGGTCTGGTAACTTGATACTTGGGCCTGGGAGACAAACGCACGGCATGAACTGAGGAAGAGATAAAAATTTGCTGATATCTGTGTTTAGTATCCTATCATACGTATTTATTCAAACCGATTTGTGTGTATAGAGCCTGTCTTCAGAGTTGATCTTCCTCAGCCTAGACAGAGGTACCAAAAACAAGGAATGTAGAGGTTACCTGTAAGAATGATGAGAGCATCCTCCGCTACATCATCAGATGATGCACTCTGTACAACTAGCCCAGAGTCAATGCTGTCTTCGTCAAATGTGGTTTCTTCATTGGTGTCTCTGTGAGGCTGGCTGGAGTCAGTAGGGCCATAACTATTTAAATGAGTGATGACAGATTCCTCCAGAGAATCCTCAGGGACTTTCTTGACTTCAAGCTTCCGCACCTCCCTGATGAGTCAGATGGGATAGAGATGACAGAGATTAAACAAAGGGTGATTGGAACCCAGGAATTCCTGGCTGGTTTTCACAGGAGGAATGACAGAGTGGTCCCAGAGGCAAATGGGAGGTTCCCTTTAAGAGAAAACAGGCAATCCTCCGCTCTGCAACAGAGCATGGCTGCCATGAGAACCGGAGAGACAACTGGCATTCATCACACTGCGCAGAAAGGAGCTGAGAAGAGCAGAGACTCAGTTATCCCTGTATAATTCAGACATGGCACTCAGCACATAAAAAGAAGCACAGCAGCTGCCACACCCTGTGTCTAAGTTGGGTTGAACTGAGCATATTGTGGCCAAGGAAATGCAGGCTTTTGTCCCATGGGAGACACCAGAGCTGGTGAGATTCTAGACCTTTTCCATACTTTACCACCCATTACTTGCTCCTGATTCTTCAGTGTTACCTGGGGGCAGGTGACTCCTGGATTTTCTCAGCCTCTGCAACATGAACATCCTCATCCTTGTCTTTGTCATTTTCTGCAAGTACAGATGTGTTCATTCAGATATTTCCCATTTCACATTTTGCAAACACAGTCACCCAACGTGCATAGGGACATGAAAGTCTGTGCATGGGTCCCTGTTCTACTGAAAGCTCTCATGATTTCTCTTTAACACAATGCCCTGGCATAATTTCTGGATCCACCAGGCAATGCATTACTGATCCGGAGGGTCACCGTCACGATGAGGCCAAATGTTGAAAAGACTTTCAGCTCCCACATCACTGGAGACTTGTGCAGCCCCTCTCTGGACTTTGGCAGCTGTCTCCCCCATCCTGACAAAGATCTGATGCCCAGGGACTGGCTTGCTGTCCTGTCACAGCTCATATTTACAACCTATTTCTTTCTCTTAGGAAAGGACAAACAAACTTGTCCCACAATCCTCTGCACATCAGGTGACTTCACAGGCCCAAGTGGCTTCTGCTGTATTATTCAGGAACATTCTCTCCATGGGGAGTGCTCATGTCTGAACCACATCCTAACACCAAATACCCACACAGCAAGTGCTGCCTCCAACACCACACAGCAAGGCGCTTCATCTCATTTGGATAAGCAGTCATAAGTGTTTGCACATTTGAATGCTTCAGACACTGCAAGATTTCTGCCTTTGCAGATGGAGAGAGAGAAATTCGACTGCCTTTGCAGGTGGAGAGACAGAAAGTCAGGAAGGAGAAATCAATTGCTTACTGACAGTTACTAAACACACTGCTGAAGATACAGCCTGGGAATCTTCATTCTTAATCCAGAGATCTTTCCACTCCAACCGCTCTCCTGTCATAGCTTCCTTCCTGTCCTTTACACCTGGACAGATGCTGCCTCTTGTTTCAAAGACCGCCTCCCATCAGATTATGTAAGGAGCAGAGTCCTCTCTAAGCTCCCCACAGCAGGTTCTGTGTACTATTACCACATTTTCCCCAGGACCCAATAACAGAGTTTTGCCTACTGGACCTCAGCAGAAACTTAAAATGAATAGCAGTTCACAAGCCTCAGACATGTAGACCAACAGACTAGATGCTACTTCTCTGTAGGATCTTATGTGGTACAGAGAGGATTCCTGTCAACATGATTCAGCCTCTTACTGAGAAAAACAGGTGGTTCTCTGCCTGTGTCAGGAATCAATAGCTGAGATTTTACCCTGAGTCCCACACGCCCCTTACTGCAGATGTGGAAAAGTGGCTACATACTTTGGCCTCTCTCATCCATTTTTAACAAAATGTTAAGAAACAAACTTGTTTGCCTAAAAGTATGAAAAAGATGAAATAAATTCTGATGAAGAGAGTGTTCAGTTTCTCAGAGAAAAGACAGGACATCGTTCAGCACTTCCGTGATGGTGAACCAATAGAACTTACCTTCCGTCTTCAGCCGGCAGTCCAGGTAGTAGGCCGCTTGACTCATAAGATGTTTATTTTTGTTGTCTCTGTATTTCTGTTCTTCATTGTGATCTTTTTGATCATCTGTAAATAGATTTAGAAGAGCAGGTCACATTCAGGAAATCTCACTTCACAAGACAATATCAGTGTCCTGTCATACCACAAGGACAAAAAATATTCTCAATGGAAGAATGTGATATTCTGATAAAAATGTTCTAATGGGCCCTGGATTAAGTTGAATCAGAAGCAGATGAGCCTGCTTTTCAGACCCATGGGACAAAATGTCTCATCTTGTAGATCTCAATCCCACATCCTCTGACTTAAGTCAGTGCAAATAATTAAAACTTTTACCCCAAAATCTTCAAAACTTCCCGACTGCTTTCCAGAAGGGTTGTTGCAATACTGATCTAGCTCATCCTGTATCACGGTCAACGAAGAATTAGCGAAAAGAATACAGAAGACTAAACCGACAAATGTATTTTAACAACCTCTACTTAAAAAAGAATCTATGAAGCCAGCATGGTGGCTCAGGCCTGGAATCCCAGCACTTAAGGAGGTCTAGGAGGGCAGATCCCTTGACCTCAGGAGTTCGAGATCAGCCTGGCCAACATGGAGAAACCCCGCCTCTACATCAAACACAAACAGTAGCCAGGCATGGTGGTGCCCACCGAGGAACCCAGCTGATTGGGAGGCTGAGGCACCGGTACAAGAGTACTTCCTGCTCTTGATGGGGCCACTTATACCACAGGTTCTATCAGGAGCAGAATCCCCTTTCAGTTCCTCACAGGAGGTACTGTCTGCTATCGCTGTGTTTCCCCCAGTGTCCCCAACACACAGCTTTGCCTGCTGGGCCTCAGCAGAAACTGGAACACAATGGAAGTTCAGCAGCCTCAGACATTTAGACCAACAGACTAGATGCTACTTCTCTGCAGGATCTTGTACCGTACAGAGAGGATTCCTGTAAACATGGATTTAGCCTCTTGCTGAGAAAAACAGGTGGTTCTGTGCCTGCGTCAGAAATCCATAGCTGGGATTGTAACCACAGTCCCACACCCACCTTACTGCAGACGTGGAAAACTTGCTAAACACTCTGGCCTCTGTCTTCCACCTTTAACCAAATGGTAAAATACCCATTTCTATTTTCTAGGAGTATAAGAAAGATAAGATTAACTTTGAGGAAGACAGCGGTCAGTTTCTCGAGACCAGGTAGGACATCGTTCATCACTTTTGTGGAGGTGAACCTATGGAACTCACCGTATGCCCTCAGCCGGTAGTTCAGGGAGTAGTCCACCTCACTCAGAAGACATCTATTTCGGCGGACTCCGACATCCGGTTTGTTATCTTCCCGCTGGGAGCAGAATTTCTCAATGGCTTCTGGAACGTTCACCCCTGGAATTTTTCCGGCAACAGCCCTGCCAGATGCCACCGTGATGACATTTGGGGACGAAAAGGGAAAGCCAGGGACTGGAAAGAAGAAACCCAAACACATGATGGGTTAGAAATTGGTGACGTCAAATTGGTTTAATCAGGACTGAGGGATGTCACTGACAGTGTTGCCTATTGATGTGAAGATCTTATTTCACCGAATTACTCTTCTCATCTGCACTCTTGATCACCACCCTAAAGTCAACTTGTCTTAGCTACTCATTGACCTTGAAGCCAGGACATCCACATTTCTACCTTGATCCTGCTTATAAGTTCTGAAGGATCTTACATGGTACAGAGAAGATTCCTGTAAACATGATTGAGCCTCTTGCAGAGAAAAGCAGGTGGTTTGGTGCCTGTGTTAGGAAGCAGTAGCTGGAATGTTAACCCTAGTCTCGCACCCGTCTTACTGCAGACCTGGAAACGTTGCTACATAGTTTCACCTCCTACAAAATGTATACAGGAGACTGGACCGACGGATGTATTTTAACAATGTCTACTTAAAAAAGAATCTGTGGAGCCGGCATGGTGGCTCATGCCCGGAATCCCAGCACTTTAGGAGGTCTAAGAGGGCAGATCCCCTGACCTCAGGAGTTCATGACCTTTAACATTTTGTTAAAGACGTAACATTGCTACTTTCCTAGAAGTATGGGAAGGATGAAATTAACTTTGAAAAAGAGAGTGTATGGTTTACCAGAGACAAGACAGGACACTGCTCAGCACTTCGGTGACGGTGAACCTATAGAACTTACCTTCCGTCTTCAGCTGACAGACCAGGTAGTAGACCGCTTGACTCACACAAAGTTTATTTTTGCTGTCTCCGTATCTCCGTTCTTCATCGTCATCTTCTCGAGCTTCTGTAAACAAATTCAGAAGAGCAGGTCACAGTAAGCAAATGGCACTTCGCACAAGACCAAATCAGTGTCCAGTCATAGCACGAGGACGTAAAATAGTCTCAATGGAAGAATGCGATACTATGATGGGAATGTTCTAACGCGGCCCTAGATTCGGTTGCCTCAGAAGCAGATGAGCCTGCTCTTCAGATCCATGGGACAAAATCTGCCACATCTTGTAGGTCTCAATCCCATATCCTCTGACTTAAGTCAGTGCAAACGATTAAAACATTTATTCCAAAACCTTCAAAACTTCCCCTGACTGCTTTCCAGAAGGGTTGCTGCAATACTCATCTAGCTCATCCCGTATCACGGTCAACGAAGGGTTAGAAAAATGTATACAGGAGACTGGACCAACGGATGTATTTTAACAATGTCTACTTAAAAAAGAATCTGTGGAGCCAGTATGGTGGCTCATGCCCGGAATCCCAGCACTTTAGGAGGTCTAAGAGGGCAGATCCCTTGACCTCAGGAGTTCAAGCTCAGCCTGGCCAACATGGAGAATCCCTGCCTCTACATCAAACACAAACAGTAGCCAGGCGTGGTGGTGCCAACCGGGGATCCCAGCTAATTGGGAGGCTGAGGCACCGGTACCAGGGTACTTCCTGCTCTCGATGGGGCCACTTACACATACCACAGGTTCTATCAAGAGCAGGATCCCCTTTCAGTTCCTCACAGGAGGTACTGTCTGCTATCACTGTGTTTCCTCCAGTGTCCCTAACACAGCTTTGCCTGCTGAGCCTCAGCAGAAACCGGAACAAAATGGAAGTTCAGCAGCCTCAGACATTTGGACCAACAGACTAGATGCTACTTCTCTGCAGGATCTTGTACCATACAGAGAGGATTCCTGTCAACATGGATTTAGCCTCTTGCTGAAAAAAACAGGTGGTTCCGTGCCTGTGTCAGAAATCCATAGCTGAGATTGTAACCCCAGTCCCACACCCACCTTACTGCAGATGTGGAAAACTTGCTAAACACTTTGGCCTCTGTATTCCATCTTTAACCAACTGGTAAAATACCCATTTCTATTTTCTATGAGTATGGGAAAGATGAGATTAACTTTGAGGAAGAAAGCGGTCAGTTTCTCGAGCTGAGGCAGGACATTGTTCCTCACTTTTGTGGAGGTGAACCTATGGAACTCACCGTATGTCCTCAGCCGGTAGTTCAGGGAGTAGTTCACCTCACTCAGAAGAAATCTATTTCGGCGGACTCCGACATCTGGTTTATCTTCCCGCTGGGAGCAGGATTTCTCAATGGCTTCTGGAACGTTCACCCCTAAAATTGTTCCGGCAACAGCCCTGCCAGATGCCACCGTGATGACATTCAGGGCAGAACACGGAAAGCCAGGGACTGGAAAGAAGTAACCCAAACACATGATGGGTTAGAAACTGGTGACGTCAAATTGGTTTAATCAGGACTGAGGGATGTCACTTACAGCTTTGCCTATTGATTTGAAGATGTTATTTCCCCGAATTACTCTTCTCACCTGCACTCTCGATCACCCAAAAGTCGACTTATCTTAGCTACTCATTCACCTTGAAGCCCGGACATCCACATTCAACCCAAACACAAGATGGGTTAGAAACTGGTGACGTCAAATTGGTTTAATCAGGACTAAGGGATGTCACTGACAGTGTTGCCTATTGATTTGAAGATGTTATTTCCCCAAATTACTCTTCTCATCTGCACTCTTGATCACCCTAAAGTCAACTTGTCAAAGCTACTCATTGACCTTGAAGCCAGGACATCCACATTTCTACCATGATCCTGCTTATAAGTTATGAAGGATCTTATATGGTACAGAGAAGATTCCTATAAACATGATTTACCCTCTTGCAGAGAAAAGCAGGTGGTTTGGTGCCTGTGTTAGGAATCAATAGCTGGGATGTTAACCCTAGTCTCGCACCTGTCTTACTGCAGACGTGGAAATGTTGCAACATAGTTTTGCCTCCGTGTTACGCCTTTAACAAAATGTTAAAGATGTAACATTGCTACTTTCCTAGAAGTATGGGAAGGATGAAATTAACTTTGAAAAAGAGAGTGTATGGTTTCTCAGAGACAAGGCAGGACACTGCTCAGCACTTCCGTGACGGTGAACCTATAGAACTTACCTTCCATCTTCAGCTGACAGACCAGGTAGTAGATCGCTTGACTGACTAGAAATTTATTTTTGTTGTCTCCATATCTCCATTCTTCATCGTCATCTTCTTGAGCTTCTGTAAACAAATTCAGAAGAGCAGGTCACAATAAGCAAATGGCACTTCACACAAGACCAGATCAGTGTCCAGTCATAGCACGAGGACGTGAAATAGTCTCAATGGAAGAATGCGATATGATGAGAATGTTCTAACGTGCCCTAGATTCGGTTGCCTCAGAAGCAGATGAGCCTGCTCTTCAGATCCATGGGACAAAATCTGTCTCATCCTGTAGATCTCAATTCCACATCCTCTGACTTAAGTCAGTGCAAACGATTAAAACTTTTACCCCAAAATCTTCAAAACTTCCCCTGACTGCTTTCCAGAAGAATTGCTGCAATACTGATCTAGCTCATCCTGTATCATGGTCAAGGAAGGGTTAGAGAAATGTATATAAAAGACTGGACCGAGGGATGTATTTTAACAATGTCTACTTAAAAAAGAATCTCTGGAGCCGGCATGGTGGCTCATGCCTGAAATCCCAGCACTTTAGGAGGTCTGGGAGTGCAGATCCCTTGACCTCAGAGTTCGAGATCAGCCTGGCCAACGTGGAGAAAACCCGCCTCTACATCAAACACAAAAAGTAGCCAGGCGTGGTGGTGCCCACCGGAAATCCCAGCTAATTGGGAGGCTGAGGCACCGGTACCAGGGTACTTCCTGCTCTTGATGGGGCCACTTACACATACCACAGGTTCAATCAAAAGCAGGATCCCCTTTTAGTTCCTCACAGGAGGTACTGTCTGCTATCACTGTGTTTCCCCCAGGGTCCCCAACACACAGCTTTGCCTGCTGGGCCTCAGCAGAAACCGAAAAAAAATGGAAGTTCAGCAGCCTCAGACATTTAGACCAACAGACTAGATGCTACTTCTCTGCAGGATCTTGTACCATACAGAGAGGATTCCTGTCAACATGGATTTAGCCTCTTGCTGAGAAAAACAGGTGGTTCCGTGCCTGTGTCAGAAATCCATAGCTGGGATTGTGACCCCAGTCCCACACCCACCTTACTGCAGACGTGGAAACGTTGCTAAACACTTTGGCCTCTTGTCTTCCATCTTTAACCAAATGGTACAATACCCATTTCTATTTTCTAGGAGTATAGGAAAGATGAGATTAACTTTGAGGAAGACAGCGGTCAGTTTCTCAAGACGAGGCAGGATGTCGTTCATCACTTTTGTGGAGGTGAACCTGTGGAACTCACCATATGTCCTCAGCCGGTAGTTCAGGAAGTAGTTCACCTCACTCAGAAGACATCTATTTTGGCTGACTCCGACATCCGGTTTGTTATCTTCCCGCTGGGAGCAGAATTTCTCAATGGCTTCTGGAACGTTCACCCCTGGAATTGTTCTGGCAACAGCCCTGCCAGATGCCACCATGATGACATTTGGGGCAGAACACAGAAAGACAGGGACTGGAAAGAAGAAACCCAAACACATGATGGGTTAGAAACAGGTCACATCAAATTGGTTTAATCAGGACTGAGGGATGTCACTGACAGCCTTGCCTATTGATTTGAAGATGTTATTTCCCCGAATTCCTCTTGTCACCTGCACTCTCAATCACCCTAAAGTAAACTTGTCAAAGCTACTCATTGACCTTGAAGCCAGGACATCCACATTTCTACCTTGATCCTGCTTATAAGTTCTGAAGGATCTTATATGGTACAGAGAAGATTCCTGTAAACATGATTTAGCCTCTTGCAAAGAAAAACAGGTGGTTTGGTGCCTGTGTTAGGAATCAATAGCTGGGATGTTAACCCTACCCACGTCTCGCACCTGTCTTACTGCAGACATGGAAATGTTGCTACATAGTTTCGCCTCCATGTTACGCCTTTAACAAAATGTTAAAGATGTAACATTGCTACTTTCCTAGAAGTATGGGAAGGATGAAATTATCTTTGAAAAAGAGAGTGTATGGTTTCTCAGAGACAAGACAGGACACTCCTCAGCACTTCCGTGATGGTGAACCTATAGAACTTACCTTCCATCTTCAGCTGACAGGCCAGGGAGTAGACTGCTTGACTCACAAGAAGTTTATTTTTGTTGTCTCTGTATCTCCGTTCTTCATCGTCATCTTCTTGAGCTTCTGTAAACAAATTCAGAAGAGCAGGTCACAGTAAGCAAATGGCACTTCACACAACACCAAATCACTGTCCAGTCACAGCACGAGGACGTGAAATAATCTCAATGGAAGAATGTGATATTATGATGGGAATATTCTAACGGGCCCTAGATTCGGTTGCCTCAGAAGCAGATGAGCCTGCTCTTCAGATCCATGGGACAAAATCTGTCTCATCTTGTAGATCTCAATCCCATATCCTCTGACCTAAGTCAGTGCAAATGATTAAACCTTTTTCCCCAAATCTTCAAAAATTGCCCTAACTGCTCTCCAGAAGCATTGCTGCAATACAGAGTTATCTCATCATATATCATGGTCAGTGAATGGTTAGAAAAATTTACATAGGAGACTGGACTGATGGATGAATTCTAACAACCTTTACTTAAAAAAGAATCCATGGAGCCAGCCCAATGTCACACACCTGGAATTCCAGCACTTAAGCAGGCCCAGGGAGGGAGATCACTTGACCTCAGGAGTTGAAGACCAGCCTGGCCAACATGGTGAAAACCTGCCTCTACTAACAATACAAAAATTGGCCATTTGTGGTGGTGCCCACCAGGGATCCCAGCTAATTGGAAGGCTGAGGCACCAGTACCAGGGTACTCCCTGCTCTTGATGGTGCCAGATACACACACCACAGATGCTATTAGAGCAGAGCCCCCTTCAAGCTCTTCACAGGAGATATTGTGTGCTATCACATTTCCCCCAGTGTTTCCAGAACAGAGCTTTCCCTACTGGGCCTCAGAAAACTAGAACCAAATGGAAGTTCAGTTGCCTTAGACATTTTGACCAACAGACTAGAGGCTACTTGTCGGCAGGATCTTATACTGTACAGAGAGGATTCCTGTAAACATGGATTTGGTCTCTTGCTGAGAAAAACGGGTGGTTCTGTGCCTGTGTCAAAAATTGATAGCTGGGATTGTAACCCCAGTCGCACACCCACCTTACTGCAGGCATGGAAAAGTTGTTAACTACTTTGGCTTCTGTCTTCATCTTTAACAAAATGTTAAAGTACCCATTGCTAATTTCTACAGGTATGGGAAGAATGAAATTAATTTTGATGAAAAGAACTGTCAGTTTCTCAAAACAACACAAAACATCATTGATCACGTTCGTGGTGGTCAACCTATCGAACTTACTGTATGACTTCAGCCGGTAGTTCTGGAAGTAGGCCACCTGGCTCAGAAGAAGTCTGTTTTTGCTGGCTCCGACATTCGATTTGTTTTCTTCCTGTTGTGAGCCAGATTTCTCAATGCCTTCTGTAATGTTCTCCTCTGGGATTCTTCTGGAAGGAGGTCTGCCAGATGCCACCATGTTGACTTTTGGGGCACAACACAGAAAGCCAGAAACTGGGGCGAAGAAACCCAAACATATAATGGGTTAGAAACTGGAGATGTCAAGTTGGTTTAATCACGACTAAGGGATCTCACTGACAGCCTTGCCTATTGCACATGATGTTTCCCTGCTTTTACTCTTCTCATCTCCACTCTTGATCTCCTTAAAATCAACTTGTCTTAGCTACTCAGTCACCCTGAAACCAGGATATAAACACTTCTACCTTTATCTTGCTTATACGTTCTGAAGGATCCTATGTGTTAGAGAGAATTCCTGACGTGATTTAGTCTCTTCCTGAGAAATACAGGTGGTTCTGTGCCTGTGTCAGGAATCGTTAGCTGCGTTATTAACCCTAGTCTGACACCCACCTTACTGCAGATGTGGAAGTGTTGCTAAATGCCTTGGCCTCTGACTTCCATCTTTAGCATAATGTTAAAATACTCATTGCTATTTTCCTAGAAGTATGGGAAGGATTAAATTAACTTTCAAGATGAGAGTGTGTAATTTCTCAGAGATAAGACAGGACATTGTTCAGCACTTCCGTGATGGTGAACCCATAGAACTTACCTTCCGTCTTCAGCCGGCAGCCCAGGTAGTAGGCCACTTGACTCAAAAAAAGTTTATTTTTGTTGTCTCTGTATTTCTGTTCTTCATCGTCTTTTCGATCTATAAACAAATTCAGAAGAGGAGGTCACATTAAGCAAATCACACTTCACACAAGACCAAATCAGTGTCCAGTCATAGCACAAGGACTTAAAATACTCTCAGTGTAAGAATGTGTTATTCTGACAGTAATGTTCTAATGGGCCCTAGACTAAGTCGCCCTAGAAGTGGATGAGCCTGCTTTTCAAATCCATGGGACAAAATTTCCCTCATCTGGTAGATCTTAATCACTTATCCTCTGACCTAAGCCAGTGCAAAAATTAAAACATTTCACCCAAAATCTTCCAAAAATTGCCCTAAATAATTTCCAGAAGCATTGCTGCAATACTGATTTATCTCATCATATATTATGGTCAATTAATGGATAGAGAAATTCATATAAAAGACTAGACCAACTGATGAATTGTAACAACCTTTCCTGAAAACAGAATCTGTGGAACCACCATGGTGGCTTGTGTCTGGAATCCGAGCAATTTAGGAGGCACAGCAGGGCAGATCCCTTAATCTCAGGAGTTCAAGAACAGCCTGGCCAACATCATGAAACCCCACCTCTACTAAAAATACAATAGTAAGCCAGGTGTGCTGGTGCCCACCGGAAATCCCAGCTGATTGGGAGGCTGAGGCACCAGTACCAGGGTACTCCCTGCTCTTGATGCCACTGACACATACCACAGGTTCTATTAGCAGCAGCATCCCCTTCAAACTCCTCACAGTGGGTACTGTCTGCTGTCACTGTGTTTCCCCCAGTGTCCCCAGAACACACCTTTGCCTACTGGGCCTTAGCAGTCTCTGGAACCTAATGGAAGTTCAGTAGCCTCAGACATTTAGACCAACAGACTGGATGCTACTTGTCTGCAGAATCTTATACGGTATAGAGAAGATTCATGTAAACAGGATTTAGCATTTTGCTGAGAAAAACAGGTGGTTCTGTGCCTGGGTCAGTAATCAATAGCTGGGTTTGTAACCCCAGTCCCTCACCCATCTTACTACAGATGTGGAACAGTTGATAAATACTTTGGCCTCTGTCTTCCATCTTTAACTCAATGTTAAAATACCCATTGCTATTTTCTACAAGTATGGGAACCATGAAATTAATTTTGATGAAGAGAACCGTTAGTTTCTAGAGAGAAGACAGGACGTCACTCAACAGTTTCATGGTGGTGAACCTATACAACTTACTGTCTGTCTTCAGCTGATAGTTCTGGAAGTAGGCCACCTGGCTCAGAAGAAGTCTATTTTTGCTGTCTCTGAAACTCGGTTTGGTCTCTTCCTGCTGGGTGTAGGAATTCTCGACGATATCAGGAAAGTTCACCTCTGCGGTTTGCCTGGAACACACCCTGCCAGGTGCCGCCATGGTGATATTTGGGGCACCACAGGCACAGCCAGGGACTAGGGAGAAGAAACCCAAACACAGGATGGGTTAAAAACGGGAAATCAAATAGGTCTAATCAGGACTGAGGAATTTCAATAACTCAAATTCCTAACTTACTGTTCAGAAAAACGATCCCTCCTCACAGAATGTTAGGGTCCTTAACTGCCAAAACAATGTAGGAAACGCTTGAGCTCAGAGCTGAAGGTGCTGCCTCTAGCTCAGACTCTGACAAGAGTGTGGGAGACAGGGCCAGTGTCCCAGGTAACGGTCTGCTGTTGCAATAATAGAATTGTAAGCTGGGCGTGTCATGGAATCTTCATTCCAACTGCCCAGGGTTTGCTAAAACACAGGCCTCCTGGTCTCACCTGAGCTCACAACCAATGGGGAACCGTTTCTCTATCAGTCACTCTCAGTATTTGTGTACCCTTGTGACGATGCCACAGTCCCATCTCATTCCCAATATATCTAACTAAGCATGCGCCTCATTTTTTCATCTCTTGTGTGTATAAAATCATCAAGGCAGAAACAGTTTCCCAACATGTAATATTTTCTTAATGCTTAGTCATGAAGTCAGTCATCCCTCCTTCTCATATGTTAAAACACAGTTGGAGCCTTTTCCACAAGTTTAACATATCATCCTATTACACTGCCATGATATCCTGACTCTTCTGCAGTTTTTTTCTGTATCCACTAGAGACTGAATGAGTAATTCATTTTGTTAATGAATTAAAATGTTTTCTTTCCTGGCTCAATATTCCTCTTGCTGCATCCCATGGTTATGCTGATTTATATTTTATCAGATATCACTACACTGATATTTGTGGCAGAAGAGACTTTTCATTACACTTAAGACCAGTTTGATGTCCCTATATTTAAAGCTTCCTCTATGTAAGATGATTGGTTTTTTAATGTGACTGAACACTACTTCTCATTCTTGTCACGTACGGATGTCAATTTAGTCCCAGAAGAGCTCTTTTCAAGGTGTCATCAAAATCATTTCTATAGAGATCTCCTGAAAGCGTATGTGACCATCTATCTTGGGAAGTCTGGTAAACCTCATATGATTTTGTTGTTTTCATTTCATGTTTTCCATATAGTGAAAATAAGAGGGCCATGAGCGGTCCTTATGGAATACTGTTTGACACATATTTTTCTGAGTTGGCCTAATGCCATTGATGTGTGCTTACATCCCACTAAGCAAACCCAGTAAGATCAAGGTGATGGTCAGGGGTGGTTGGTGGTCCTCCATGTTGCTGCGCAATAGAAGGTGAATTTGAGATGACAGGAACGAGTAGGAAGAGTGATCCCTGAGCCTCCTCCTCACTTTCTCAGCTTTCATCACCACCCAGGTTTTGTGAGCCTGGGACTTGGGAGACTGTTCTGTAGCCCAGGTCTCCTATGTTTGGCTGCTTCCTGGGCTTGCTGAGTCGAGGGTGCAATGGGTGTGACCCTGGGCTGCCCAGCATTCATGTGGAAGTGAAGCAAGGAGGACTGGATCGATCCCATTGGAAAGCGTGCCTCTCTACAGCCCCATCATCCTCCAGCAACACTGTGAGCACACCGCTTAGAGATACATCAAAGGCTTTATGTATATACATGTTCTGGTGTCTGGGAAGCCTGACGTTCTCTAGCAGAAGCAAAATCTGTGAGGTTTCTTCATTATAAAAATGAAGCTGCAGGTTCACAAAGTTATGTGGCTTGCTTCAGGTCACACAGGGATGAGTTCTGAGCAGTGCCAATAAAAGCAATCACAACAATTATTCCATAATGATTCATAGGATCCGTGTCATTCAGTAAATATTCATATAATTATTCACTAATTATTTGTTGACCAATCTCTACCAGGCATTTTGCTCAAAACTGTGCACATATTTGGACAGTATATCTTCATCAGAATCCTCAAGGTAACGCTGTTATCCTAAGAATCAGGTAAGAAACCTGAACAAGAGGCTAGCAAATCATGAATTTGGCCATATTTCTATTTTCTGGTTTCTGTGATGCTGGACAAATGACCAGAATGAGTCACCTGAAGAGTATTCATCCCTGTATCATTTTCCAGGACAGAGGTATGTCTTCCTAGTATATTGGGACCAAAATTCAAAAGTGTCTGCAACCTTGCTTTAACAGCATGGAAAATAACCTCTATTTTGCATGAAATTAGACCTGGAATTTCCCTGGATCTTTGGAATATACAAGAGAAGGTCTGTATATCTTTGTCTGTCCCCATCAGTGCCACTCAGTTCTCCCAGTATGACCTGGCCATGCCCCTGCACTTACCCTCATCCTGCCCAACCATCTCCATGCACCGTCCAATTCCATCAGTGATTCAGGCTCCTCCCAAGGCTCCCTGAAATAGGTACAGGTCTCAGGACATCACACACATTCCAGGCACAAAAGTTCCCGCTTCCCTGTAGTTGGCAGTGATGTCCTAGGACAGGAAGAAACACTATCCCTTGTTAGGGGGTCTCTTCTTCATGTCTCAGGGCCTCTGGTCTAGTGAACACAACTGTCCTGAATGTGAATGAACTTGCTAAATTCCTGGTTTCTTGCTAAGTGGCTAGAATAGATTTATGAGACTTTCTTACTTCCCCATGTTTGCTGAAGTCTGAATTCTTACCAGAATGATTCCTTTTCTTGTAAGGGGTAGCTTAGAAAAGACTGGCCCCATTGCCATGCAAAGAGAGGTAAAGTGAATTTCTACTCAAAGCAACCTTGAATTTGAAACTAGGTCTTCCACTGTTTCAAAGCTGGCCTGTAGGTCCAACTGTCACATATTTGGACATATATCTTCATCGGAATCCTCAGGCTTGTGTCCTCAAAGGCTTGTGTGTCTGCTGTACTCAGCATACAGTTATTTCTCATTATGGTAAGTTATAATTAACTTACCACAATATAATTCATTATCAAGATAAACTTATTTATCATTATGGCAAAAACAAATTTAGAAGAGTTATTAAATTTACTTCTTTATTTCCCCAGCTGGAAACAGTCCATAGCTACTGATATCATCAGTGTCCTCTGAATACCTTGGCTGTGTTAACTGCTTTGACTCAACATGGAGCTGAGGTGTTGGTGTACTGTACGTCGAGATGCTGAAATATGGCTGAAGTCCAGGGTCACTGGCCCAGGACATCCACTGAGGTCATCTCATGAGACCTGGGTCATGGCTTCCACCATCACTACACTTCTCATGAATCACCAGTCTCTAGATTTAGAACTCTGTGAAACCTGGGATCCTATTTTACTCACCTCTGTGGTCATGATCCTTAGCTAAGGGCCCAGCACAGAGGGGCCTCTCAGCAGTGTTCATCCATGACTGAATAAAATAAATTACAAACCTCCAACCCTTTCACCTACATTTCTGTCCCCAATGTCTTGTAAGGGATGCTCTTTCTCTTGGAATGCTGCAAATCCCCTTCCCTAGAGAGGTGCCTGCCCTACACCATCCCTGCCACAAGATCCTCTCCTGTGGGAGCTTCAAGGAAGACTAGTCTGTCCTGAAAATGTTCTCTTATGCCTCCCCCTGTCATTAGGAGTAATGTCCTTTGACATACACTCCCGTCGTCCGGGCTGCCACAACACCTCAGTTGGGTAGCACTACCGTGTCTTGTTGAAATGATCTGTTTGTGTTCTTCCACTCACTGGCTTGAGTTTCTTTAGAGAGACATTAAATACCTGAATCCCAAGTGCTTAGCACAGTATAAAGAAAATTAAATAGTAAATATTTATGAGAAATTTCCCTCAACTGAACATGCAGAGGAATATTATTAGTATCACTGCTTCATATATAAGCAAGGGACACATACTCTGGCACCTGACCTAGGACAGAGCTGTTTGATGTAAGATTGGACGTCTCCAATCCTTCTCCACGCATGGTTATTCCCTCTAACCCACACTGACCAGAAGAGCATCCACTCCTACAGCAGCACCAATGCTGAGGCTCCTGGGTCTGGGGAGTGTTCATCCATGACTGAATAAAACTGATTACAAACCTCTGACCCTTTCTTGGAGTTGAAGCTGCCCCTCATTATAAACCAGCTCTGATCTAACCTGTGGCTTTCCCTGGCCAGAGGCAGGAGATTCCTGTGAAGTAAGTTTCTCTCAGTCCCCACCGCTCAGCTCACGCTGCTCCTTGAGGGTTTAAATGATCATAGCCATTGCCCATTTCCCCTCAGGCTTCTGTCCTGCTCTGTCCTTTTTCTCCCCTTCTTTGGTTTTTATTTACCAATGGCTTCTCCTTTGTGGATTATTCTCATTCCCTAAACCTGCTTTCTTTCTTCCACCTGTTCCCCCAGCTCTGGGATTCCAGCCTATAGACTCAGCTCAGGCTCCTGCAGGAGACACACAGAGTCAGATCTCAGCTGAAGGTCCCAGGCAGTATTGAAAAGCATCTCAATTCCTCAGAAGCTCAGAGAAAACAGAGCAGGAAGGGACCTCAGAGAGGTACAATAAGCCTCTACCTTACTGATGAGGAAACACTGAAGCCCAGAAACCCTGAGACTCTCCCAGGCTCCCTCCCTCACCACTTGGTGGCAGCAGATCCACCACACAAGTCTTGGCCTCAGCCTCCTTGTGCAGAGCAGGTAACTCACCCTCCAGAAGCTCGCTGCTGCCATTCGGAAAACTTTAGATGAAGAATAGCAATTTCCACTGTGAAAACAATAACGGGAAAAGCCCCTTTCCTTGGACAAACCCTTTATCACAGTTCTACAGTCCTGGCCTTTATACTTGGTCAGTTGTCATTCACTGGCTGCTAGACTGGGGCAGGGAGCACATAGGATTAAATAGTGTTTCACACAACCCTGCTTTCCCGGCCTGGGCTCCATTCTTCTTCAGAAACTTTCTGCTGCTGTAACTGCTGGAGAGTCCAGGCCCTCCTGTGGGTCATTTCTCCATGAAGATCCCTGTTATTTTCTTTCTCTCTTGGAGGTAGAGAGGGCAGAGATTGGTTCTGGGACTCCATAATCTTAGGTTTTCTCCTAAGCCAGCCAGGGCAGCTGAAAGCAATCATGACTGCGAGAGGTCAGGTGAGTGAAGAGGAGCACGGGCTCACAAGGACAGCCCCTTGTGGAGATGGTCAGGACCATGACACAGGAAATGTCTGACCAATTCTGCAGGGGATGATGCAACAAGGAGAAAGGGAAAGAACCAAAACAGTAGGGGGAAAAGAAAAATAAAATGTTTTCAATAATAATAAAAAAAAATGCAGAGCCCGGAGGCAAAGCCCCCTGTCACAGAGGGTTAGTTCCAGGCTGTGGAGCCTAATGAAGAATTTCTGGCTGGACTTTGCTCAGCCCCAGGTCAAAATGGTTTTGGATCAGTGACTTTGCTCCCTCCACTTTCCCTCTTTTTGAACAAGAATCACTAGCAGTGTTATTCTGTGACTGTCCCACCACTGCACACTGAGGACAGATAAGCTGTTTGTTCAGTTTCATGGGTCAACGGGAGTAAGGGAATTATATCAAGGATCTGTACTTGGGCCAGACATGGTGGCTCATACCTGAAATCCTAGCACCTTGGGAGCCTGAGGAGGACAACCCCTGAGGTCAGGAGTTTCAGACTAGCCTGGCCAACAGGGCAAAACCCTGTCTCTACTAAAAATAAAAAATATTAGCTGAATGCAGTGGTGCATGTCTATATTTCCAGGTACTCAAGAGTTTGAGTCAAAAAATCGCTTGAACCCAGGAGGCAGAAGTCACAGTAAGCCAAGATCGCACCACTGCACTCCAGCATGGGTGACAGACCAAGACTCACTCTCAAATAAAAAGAATCTGTACTTAACGGACACCCTCAGAAGCCTCATTCACACTTGGTGTAGATGATTTAAATAAGATTTTAAACTTTTGATCAGATTAAAGCTACATGACATTTTTCACTTTGAACTAATGTATAACATGAAACTTGGAAACCTTAGGTGAGAGGGTGAATGTATTTTGCATCTGTGAGGCATGTGAATGTCTGGGGACCAGAGGTTGAACTGTGATAGGTGGAATTTCTAAAATGGTCTCCAAACATGTTGTACCCTTATCTGTGGAACCTGTTAAAGTGATGAGATATTCCTGTGATTACTTTGTTACATGGCAGTCACATGACCTTAAAGAGTGATATGGTTTGGTTCTGTGTCCCCATCCAAATCTCATGTTGAATTATAATCCTGAGTGTTAGAGGTAGGGCCTGGCAGAAGGTTACTGTATCATGGGGATGGTTTCTAATGGCGTAGCACCATCCCCCAAGTGCTGTTGCATGACAGAGTTTCCATGAGATCTGGCTCCTTAAAACTATGTAGCACTTCCCCTTCCCCCGGTCTGTCTCTCTCTCTCTCTCTCTCTCTCTCTGTGTGTGTGTGTGTGTGTGTGTGTGTGTCTGTCTCTCTCTCCTCTGCGAGCCCACAGAACCATGACCTACTTAAATTTCTTTTCTTTATAAATCTCAGCCTCAGGTCATTATAACATTACAAGAACAGACTAATACAAAGGCTGAGCTTTCCTGAGTGGGCCGGATCTAATCACACCCCTCCCTAAGTGTCACAGATTTCTCTAGTGGGTAGAAGACAAAGTCAGAGAGACGATGGGAGCTGGAGAATTCCATAAGCTGTTGTTGGTTGGAAGATGGGGAAAGTGAGAAAGAATGCAGGTGGCCTCTGGAGTCAGGGTATCTTCTGGCTCAGAGCCAGGAGAGCTGCAAATGGATGTCAGTCCTCCACCCACAAGAAGAGGATTCTGCCAATACATCTGTAGTGAACTTGAAACAGTAGCCTGAGCTCTACATGAAAAACACAGGCAGCACATAACTGAATTTCAACCTCCTAAGACCCCGATCAGAGAACCCAGTCATTCCTGATTTCTGTGGTTTCAAACCACTAACTTATTATAATGTGTTAATAGGTAGCAACAGAAAACTAGTTACAGGTGCCTAGCTGTACTCTGTTTATATTTTCACATACATGTATGCTAATCCCTGTAGGCATAAAAGAAAAAAAAAGCAAAGAACTACAGTAAAATGTGATGCTTACCTTTACGGGAGCACTGCAAGGGCTGTACCGGAGCCCTTGCAACTTGAAGATAACATAGGCCATTTCAGGCAGGTGAGAAGCATCTCTTCAATGTTACCAACCCAATTTCTGAAAGAAAAGAGATGGTAAAATACTTAACTGCCAGCCGGGTGTGGTGGTTCACGCATGTAATCCCAGCACTTTAGGATGCTAAGGTAGGTGGATCACCTGAGATTGGGAGCTCGAGACCAGCCTTACCAACATGGAAAAACTGTCTCTACTAAAAATACAAAATTAGCTGGGCATGGTGGTGCATGCCTGTAATCCCAGCAACTCAAAAGGCAGAGGCACAAGAATTACTTGAACTCTAGAGGTAGAAGTTGCAGTGAGCTGAGATTGCAAATAGCACTCCAGCATGGTGGCTCACGCCCACAATCCAAACACTTTGGGAGGCTGAGGCAGGCAGATCACCTGAGGTTGTGAGTTCAAGACCAGCCTGACCAACATGAAGAAACCCTGTCTCTACTTAAAATACTAACTTACCTTGGCGTGGTGGTGCATGCCTGTAATCTGAGCTACTCAGGAGGTTGAGAAAGGAGAATTGCTTGAACCCAGGAGGCAGAGGTTGCAGTGAGCCGAGTTCATGCCATTGCACTCCAGCCTGAGCAACAAAAGCAAAACTCCAGCTCAAAAAAAAACTTAACTCAGCATAACATAATCTGCAAATTCATCATCTATGTTTCTAATAGAAGATTTTCTTTTAGGTCTTTCACTCATGCTCACCAGACAAGGTTTGATACCAACTGTCCGACACCAGCAAAGATGAACCAATTCAGGGAGAGCAATAAACAGGACTACCACTAAGTTCCCCCAGAGAAAATCCTTAGAATAAAATATCTTCTCTAGTTGCCACAAGAGTAAGACAACGGTCCATTATATAAAATTCCAATCTAATAAAAGCTTAAATGTAATGTTGTCTGTTTTCCAAATTTTTATCTTGTTCAGGCTCCATCGTGGTGACCAGGGATTGGAAAATGACTGCAAAGAGGCTCTGGGAAATTTGAGGAGGGAAGAAATGTATTCTAAGAGGGGACTGAGGTGATGGCTGCAAAATTCTATGTCTACTTAAATTACTCAATTCTACATTTGCAATTAGTGACTTTTATTACAAGTAACTTGTAATAAATGAAATTCATAGTTTCTACTCCAACTTGTAAGGAGCCAGGAGGTAACCACTTGCCCTCACAACAAGAAAAAAGCTGAACAAATAAAAAATTTTCAATCCTTATTAGAGGGACTAGAGGAGAGGTCACAGGGCAAATTGCCATGCTGAAAACCAGACAGACAGGCAAACACAGGGAACAGAAGCTGCTGAAGCCAGCAACTGGGAGGAGCTCTTCAATGGTACTCACAGATTCCTAGAAGCTGACGGTGGCCTGGCTTGAGCATTCAAAACTCCTTGGGGACCAGATTTAGTGGGGATCTCACACTTTTCTAAGTGTTACCACCAGGAGCCCAGCCAGGTTCTCATAGTAAAGATCAGAAAAATCCCCAGAGAACTGACACTGCCAACTTCAGTACTAATTATAAAGCTATAGTACCAAACTGTGGAAATGGTGAAGAAAGAAAACAGACAAACAGGTCACTAGGAAAGAATACAGAGCTCAGGAATAGACCTACACAGGCACAAAGGCAATTTAACAGGGAAAGGATTGTCTTTTCAACAACTGATGCTAGAATGACTAGACATCCACATGTGAAAAATAAATAAATCTAGGCACAGATTTTACACCTTCCACAAAACAAATCTTACACATGAATGTTAGGAGCAAAACTGTAAGACTCCTAGATGATCAAATATCTGGGTGAAAATCTGGGGACTTTGGGTTTGGTGATGACTTCTCAGATACAATGCCAAAAGCACAATCCAGCAAAGAAATAATTGGTAAGTTGAACTTCATAAAAATTAAAAACTTCTGCTCTGTGAAAGACATTGTTAAGAAAATGAATAAGCAAGTGACAGACTGGGAAAAAAAATTGGCAAAATACAGATCTGATGAAAGACTGGTGTCCAAAATACATGAAGAACTCTTAAAAGCTATAATAGAAAAACAAAGAATCCAATTTAGAAATGGGCAAAAGATCTGGATACTTCACCAGAAAAGACACATGGATGGAAAATAAACATATGAAATAGATGCTCAAATCATGTGTCACCAGGAAATTGCATATTAAGCCAATGAGATGTCACTACACTATAATATACACCTAATAGGAGGCTCAAATCCAAACAAGTGACAATACCACAGGCTGGCAAAGATGCAGAGCAATGGGGACTCTCAGTCACTACTAGTGGAAATGCAAAATGCTAGTCACTTTGGAAAACAGTTTGGCAGGTTCTTTTTTCTTAACAAGAAAAAAAAGCTAAATACAGCCTTGCCATGGAATCCTGAAAACAGCAGTTTTAGATACTTACCAAAGTAATGTGAAAACACATTCACTCAAAAGCTTGCATCCAAGTATTTACGACAGTTTTACTCATACTTGTCAAACACTGGAAGTAACCAAAACATCCTTCACTAAGTGAATGGCTAAACGAACTGTGGTATATCTGTACAAGAGAATGTGATTCAGTGATAAATGCAATGAGCTATCAGGCCATGAGAAGACATGGAGGAACTTTAAATACACAATGCTAGGAAGAAACTAGTCTAAAGACTCTACACACTGTATGATTCCAACACTAGGACATTCCAGGAAAGTCAAAATGGTAGAGACAGTGAAATGATCAGTGACTGCCAAGCGTGGAGGAGGGTGAATTGGCTGAACTCAAGGAGGTTCTCAGCAGTGAAACTCTTCTGTGTGACACTGTACTGGGGATTCAGGACATGGTAACTGTCAAGCCCCATAGAACTGTAAAATTCAAAGAATGAACCCTAATGTAAACTATGGAGTTTAGTTAATTATAATGTATCAATATTGATTAATCAGTTGTAAACATGTATCACACTAACGCACGATACTAATGATAGAGGAAATTGTGTGGTAGGGGACCAGAGAGAATACGGAAATTCCCTGTACTATCGGCTCAATTTATCTGTAAACCTAGAATTATTCTAAAAAATAATGTCCATTACATTTTATGAAAGTTAGGATGCAAAAGCCCCAAATCAAAATTGTGGTGGCATCCTGTTACTGTGTAGGTAATACTGGGCGTTGAGGTGAACCAAGCTGGAGTCAGAACAGTTGGAGACATCAACGCCCGTGCCTTCAACCACTGGCTCTGTGGGTGTCCCTGGAATCCAGAGAGCAGATCAGTTAGCCTGAGACAGACTCAGTGCTCCAGATAGTGCAGGCTTCTGGTAAGGACAGGGAGAAATCACCTTCAGGCAGTGATATGGCTGATATATATGTTATTTTGGATGTGGGTGAATCTTGAAGTCTAAAAAGTATTTAACTTAGAAGACAGATAATCTCTGCTCATTATGTTAAGTATAAATTTAGAATCATTGTTAAACTTACATCTTTATTTCCCTAGCTGGCCAGGACCTCATCAGTAGCTACTGATGTCACTAGTGTCCTCTGATCAGTGTTAAGTGTTTTGACCCAACAGGTAACTGAGATGTTGCTTGTACCTAAGATGCTGACACCTGGCAGAAGTCCAGGGTCACTGGCTCAAAGCAAGTCATCCAGCTGTTGGTAACAACCAGGAGGGGGACCAGGCCATCCACTGAGGTCATCTCCATGCAGCATGAGCCACTTACTCTAATGAAGCCACCGTCACTACACTTCTCATATCTCACTAGTCACTAGACTGAGAGTTCTGTGAAAGCTGAGATCATATTCTACTCATCTCTGCATTCATGATTCCCAGCTTAGGGTCTGGCACTAAGGAAGTTCTCAGCAGTGCTCACTGAAGATAGAATAAAACTGACTACAGACATCCAATCCCATCACTGACATTCCTCTCCAAAATGTCTTACCGGGGATGCTATAATTTCTCCCGAGATGCAGCAAGTGCCCCTCCTACACCTGTAGACCCCTGCTCTACACCAGTCATGCCCCAGGATCTTCTTCTGTGGGACACTGGAGGAAAAATGGGACTGCTCTGAAGAATCCCTCTTATGGTTCCCCTTGTCCTTAGGAGCAATGTCTTCACCTACACTCCCATCCTCTGGGCTGCCATGACACCCCACTTTTGGAGAACTACTCTATTTTCTTGAAATCATGTCTTTGTGTTCTTTCTCTCATGGGCTTCAGTTCCTTGGGAAACTACTCTCTGAACCCCAAGTGCTTAACACAGTGTAGAGAAAATTAAACACCCAG